ATTCTGTGACGGTCTCCTGGGTACCACTTTGTCTTGTTACAATAGAATAGTTAAACGCCTTTCAAGGCATTGAGATGGTGTATAACCACGGCATGAAAAGGGCAATGCCTGACCAGCACAAAAGCCCAGTCATCTTTCTCCGCCTTGAGCGTATTACCCGTTTGAGTGGGCCCAGGTTGTCCCTGGGGATCCGATTCTTGGCAGTCAGTGAAGGCAGCTCTCCTGGGTTAATGAACCTTGGGCTTTCTTTGGTTTGCGAACTCTAGCTTGTATGGATTTACAAACCATCATTTTTGTGTTTGCGAACCCTGGGTTCATCTGAGTTGACAAGCCTTTCTCATCGGGATTAACGAATCATGCTTGTCCGGATTAACGAACCCAGCATGTGTGGATTGACAAACCATCGGTTTGTGTTTGGGAACCCTGGGTTCATCTGAGTAGACGAACCTTTATCATCGGGATTAACGAATCATGCTTGTCCGGATTAACGAACCCTAGCATGTGTGGATTGACAAACCATCGGTTTGTGTTTGCGAACCCTGGGTTCATCTGAGTTGACGAGCCTTTCCCATCTGGATTAACGAATCATGCTTGTCTGGATTAACGAACCCTGGCTTGCACAGATTACAAACCCTCGCCTGCCTGGATTAACGCAAACAGCCACACAAGCAGCAAGCACGTGCCACTAAATGTGATCTACTACTGATAACGTTAGTTTGTGCAAACTTTGTTGACATATTACAAATAATCAATTTAAAAAAAATCTTCACACAACCTATACTTCTTTAATACTTTTTACATTGAAAAACGCACTGGGTAATTAGTATGACCGTTTTGAAAACATCTAAGCAGAGTTGAAATGTAAATCAATATTTATTGTTGACATTGGCATTTTTGAAGGAGCCGCAACTTGAAAGCCCAAGAGGCCGACGAAGGACAGACTATTTATCTGCTCCGTCAACCCCTCTCCACCCCGACCTATTCCCTACTTCTTAAAGTGGACGTCTTGGGTGTACTAGGGTCGTGTCTCAAATGGTGAAGATCTGCTTGAATTTGTATCATCACGCTAGTAGACGTTACATTTCCATACATAATGTTACATTTTTTTATAAAATCATATGTGTAACATTTAAATGTAACAATAGGAGAGGAGATGCCCCCTACCCCTGATCACTTATTTGTATACTTGTTCAATTTTTATTCAGATTAAAAACAAAGAAACAACTGTCATGTTGGCCTCGGAGTCTTGAATGGTAGACCTAATAATAGAGATGTATGTGCTTCTGTGGTGTCGTATCAGAAACATCAGTTCTCTGTCAGTGGGCATCGCCACATGCAGTGGCATTAACGTTTACACTTGATAAACATACAGAAATAGTAACCCGCAGTATTTCAGCTATGTAAATTCCGCCTACCCGCTCCCCACGAAATCTGATATTTTTCAGCGGACTTTTTTTTTATTGAAAACAATCCGCCCGAATCTTTTTTTACGCTAATTTCCCCTTGGCCGTTTTTTTTATACTGACAAATTAATTATTCGCCGTTGATTAAGTCATGCATTTGTAAGTACATTTTTTTTTCGCTCCACTTTCCGGAACACCCTTGCCACACGCGTCTCCCGAACCACATGTGGTGGCGTTGTGGCCTGTGATGTGCCTGTGTAACCACGCCAACACAGTGGTAGATCTATGTACATTTTAACGAGGTTATTCCAAAGTTGATGATTTCTACGTGAAAACCAACAAACTACATTATCTTCATCATTCGTGACGAAAGTGACCGGGAGCGGGTATTAAAAGAAAAATGTAGTTGCCACAATGTATCACTGCCCCATTGTTATTCAACTTTTTATATTTATTCATTCAAACGTCATACTATCAGCTGAAAAACAACAATAACAACATAGGAACACTTTGATTTATCCGGGGAAGTTAGGCCCCCACACCATCAGAGAAAAAGCAACTCCTTTAAGGTGGTTGATTGCATTTCTTAGCTTAGTTTAACACGAGACCAGCTTTCGATTTTTGTTGTCCGTCTTAAGTGTTTTCAACATCTGTTGCCATCGTTAGGTTATACGTTTTTTACCCATTCATAATATACGGAAATGCTATAGTTAAAGGAATTATAACGTCTAAAGAATTGAAACAAGACTTTTCGTGTATGTATATGTATATATATATATATATATATATATATATATATATATATATATATATATATATATATATATATCTGGGCTAATATGAGTCACGTATACATAAAGCACAAACTAATATTGTAATGCTAATGGATCAGGTTGAACCCGACAGATTACTATAGTTAGCCGTGTGCCTTTAGAGTCAGTTTTTGTCCGCATAAGTAGGCCCACAAAAAGGTTTTCTTAAAATCGATACCTTAAATTATAATTAACTGAACTTTCACTGTTACATATACGTTTGGGGATTTATTCATTTTTATAAACGTTCCATCACAGCAGTGGGTGATTTATTATTTATGCAACGTTATTAAAACAGCCTGATTAGCCGGGGGTTACTTTCGACTTCCTTTAGCGAGATTTTTGAAAACCGTGGCCACTCAAAACACCCGTCTCGCACCATTACACACATCGCGGAACTATTTAATTGGGATTTAAAAATAGTGGCAGCAACGCATATTCGGCCAGAAATATAAAAAATTAAATAAAAACGCGTAGAAAAGGTTAGAGTTATTTAATAACAAAAAGAGATTTTGTGTTGTGCTGTTTGGTTGATAATTAATTTATTTCCTGTTAAAATTTGTTTGAATTTAAAATGACGGGATAATATTGTTTATTCTTTATTTTTATAAAAAAAAAGTTAAAAATAAAGACTCTTTGTAATAATTGCTTCGTTGAGCATATAATATGCGCATTGATTGTGTATGATTTTCGGAAGAGTTGTTGCAGCAAGCGGCAGAAAATGTTTACACGTGCGCTGGTTGGTTGAAACTTAGCGGTATGAGGTCGCCCATAAATAACGTCGACAAACATGTGGGAAGTGGGGGGTAGAACTGATGATGAACGCATCTCGTATTTCTTAAATAAATTTAAAAATCACGATAAACATTTGTATTAAATTGCGTATGATGAAAAAAAATGGGGGGGGGGGGGGGGGGAAGGGTTGTGATAGGAGACCTTGACATTGTGTGACGTTTGGAGAAGTGGGCGACACCTATGGCAGAACGTTGAACCAAAAGATAGCATTTTTATTCCCACCGTTTGTGGCCGTCCAGAAGGCTTACTCCCACTTTAAAAGTTGGCAGTGTTACGTTTTCTCTCTCTCTTCGATTTACAACCCACGTGTCAACATTTGTTGAGATCAAGGGCGGCTGTAATCTCGCACCGGCCAAAAAATCTTCGCGAATAATGTTCAAATAAAGACTAGAAAACAATATTGAGGTGACAGGGCTCTGGAGGGAGGAAACTTCAGTAGAATATGGAAAGTTTTCCCAGGTTCTGTTGCCTTACACCTCTGATTATATTTTAGATGCCCCCCCCCCCCATAGATCTGTATTTAGACAGCCCCCCACATAGATCTGTATTTAGACAGCCCCCCCCCCCCCCACATAGATCTGTATTTTAGACGCCCCCCCCCCACATAGATCTGTATTTTAGATGCCCCCCCCCCCACATAGATCTGTATTTTAGACAGCCCCCCCACTTAGATCTGTATTTTAGATGCCCCCCCCACCATAGATCTGTATTTAGACAGCCCCATCCCCCCATAGATCTGTATTATAGACAGCCCCCCTCCCCCCATAGATCTGTATTATAGACAGCCCCCCCTCCCCTCCATAGCTCTGTATTATAGACAGCCCCCCTCCCCCCCCCATAGATCTGTATTTTAGACAACCCCCTCCCCCTTAGATGTGTATTATAGATTTTAGACAGCCCTCCCTCCCCATGTATCTGTATTTTACACCCCCCCCCATGGATCTTTATTTTACACAGTCCCATCCCTTTAGATCCGTAAGATAGCCCCCCCCCCCACTTCAACCCAACATAAATCTGTATTCTAGACACCCCCCTCCTTAGATTGGAGTTCTAGACAGTCACCCCACCCCCTAATTGATGTATATTCTAAAAACACCCCCCCCCCCTCCATAGAACTGTATTCTGGACAGCCACCACACTCCCTCATTGATGTATATTCTAGATAGCCCCCCCCCCCCCCCATAGAACTGTATTCTAGACAGTCACCCCACCCCCATCTCTGCAAATTCATTGATCTGGTGCTAGGGCATTTGAATCATTACTTCCAGTTCAGTGAGAGGATGTTGTTACCATGGTAACCGTAACTGTTGTAAGCTGATAGTTGTGTTTAATTTCCAAATCAGCTCATAGCTTTTTGGATTGTTCCAACTTGATCTCCATTAGGACTAGAAAAAAAAAACCATTCTATCTGCTCTAAAAGAATGTTTTTTTTGTTCCTCATGAGTAAAATTTATTCCTGCTTTGTAGGTTTTTTATTGTCTGCACTGATATTCCGTTCAGGCTTTTGTCCATTAAAAAAAAAAAACTACACATCATCTACACTTGGTAGGAATTTGCATGTTTAAAAAAGAATGTGTATTTATAAATTCAAATATAGACACACATGCTGTAAAATCTGTAAAATGTAAATCTGTTTTGTGTCTTTATTTTCAGAAGTACAATTAGTATTAACAATAGCCAAATTATTTTATCTTCATTCTTTGCATTTCACCATAGTATACAGTTATTTTTCTCTTGTAGTGAAATTGTCAAAATCAATACTTTTTAATAAAAGTATTTTATTTTTTGAAATGCTTTATAAAAAAAATTAAATGGGATGAAAATGACATTGAATGAATTGCTTTTTGTTCATGTAATCTTCTAACTACTATGATTATATAGCATTAATTTTGTGAACATTTTTAATCTTTTGAATAGATTTGATGTTCTCTTTGTTAGTATATGATGTTGCTGTTAATTAATAAGAACAATTTTTTTCTGTCCATTCCAGCAATGGGTCAGACTCTGTCTGAACCGGTGACAACCAAATACTCGTCCAAACATGAAAACACGTTTGTGAAGGTGGGCTCTTCCTGTATGCAAGGATGGAGAATCAGTATCCTTTCTCCACTGTTGGAGGAAATTCTTTTGTATTGTTAATACAAAGAATTGAAGTGTTAGTTATCTACATTTTTACTTAACAAATAGCTCATTTTACTACAAAATGTCAAGTGTCAAGTTATTCTTGTCATGACCAAGTTTTGTGTTTCCTTGACTGAAATCATGTACTAACTCTTCTATGAGGAGTTAGTAAAACATCTCTTCTACTCTATGACTTAGTTAATTAGAGTTCCCCTTTCCTGTTCGTTTCATTTAATCACATTTTCCCTTAAGTAAAAATCAATGTAGGGAGCTTATGTTTGATGGGGAACTAGTTAAAGCTGAAAGGAGAATCAATTGACCTTGTGCCAGTAGTTTAGCTGTTTTGTTTTTATTCATGACAAATGAGCTGACATTACTGATAAAAGGTTAAAGACAGTTTTTGTTGAATAATATCAAGTTACACTTAAAGTTAAAAATCCATTGTATAACTGCATCTCTGATGTTAAAAAAAACACACCCTTTTGAACCTTCAAGTACATGAGGCAGGTGAAGTAGAGTCTTAGCCTGTTATTTAGTAAAGATAGTCTGGAGCTTAACACAGGTTTGCAATAAAGGGACCTAAAAGTAAATGTTGAGATTTTTCTTAATCATGACCTAGATATGGAAGATGCCCACAGTCATCTTCTCAGTCTACCAGGAGATAAAGACGCATGTTTCTTTGGTGTATTTGATGGTCATGGAGGTAATTGTTTTCAACATGCCTAGCACATTTCTTTCTTAACCTGATCTGTTAATTGTTTCATGGTTTAATATTTCTTTTTTCAAAAAGCCTTAGAATTTATTAAATCTATATATATAATTCTCCTCTTCGAGCCGTTAGAAAACAAGCTGCAAACGCTCTCCCTACCTCCCCACCCCTACATGGTTTTAGTGAGCTGTGTTCACTCTAAATGTTTACAAGCAGAGCCAACGATTTTAAACGTAGAGGGGGGGGGGGGGGGAGGGGGGGAAGGAAGGGGGGGGGGTTATGGTCCTTAACGAGCTACTTATAGTGTTTTAAAGAAATATTTTCAGTGTCAGCATTGGTACTGTCGAATTCACAAATTATGAATTATTGAAAATTAGAAACAACTAAATAGCGGCGTATGTTATGCCGCGGGCCGGCTCGTTAATTTAGTTGTAATTATTGATACACCAAATGATATTTTTTTTCCCCTCATTAGTTTTACATTAAAATATTTTGCTTAATCTATTTGTTGACAGGTGTTAAGGTAGCACAGTATGCGGGTAACAATTTACATAAAAAAATAGTTTCACAGTCTTCTTATTGTAAGTAGCCTATATGTTATCAAACTCGCTTTGCTCGATTACAATTTTTACTACTACTTTTTTTTATTTAAGTTCAAATGTTATGTAAAATGTGTAATTAATTATTTTCTTTTTTATAGCTAAAGGTAATATATCAGATGCAATACGGAGTGGATTTCTTTCACTAGATGAAGAAATGCTAAGAGGTATGAGACCATATGGCACTTTTTTTTTTTTTTTTACTTCAGAACACATTTTCAAAATTTTTAATAATCATTCCCTGATTTGTACAGACATCTATTCTCATTTATTGAATCATAAGAAGGAGAATCTGATGGTTTTCAGTTTTGAAGTTTAATATATGACTTAACCACCAATGGACTAACAAGCTGTGGTTAGAAATGCCCAGGGGTCAAGTAGTCTAGTGTAAGACTGCTAACCTGAAAGTCATGAGTATGGATCTTGTGTTCAAATCTGTAAGCAGTCCCTGGGTACCTGACTAACGTTGGGGAAATTAAAGGTGGCTGGGTGTAGTGCTGACCACACTATCCCTTCAACTGCCAAGGTTACTGAAAAAGGTGAACTCTACTTCACCTGCCTTATAGATGGTAAGGTTTGAATGGGTACTTTACTTTTTTTACTGTATTCAAGCATCAAATGGGATTGATGATTAACGAAGGTTTTGCCTCTAATTGTACAGATGAAGCAATGAAGGATGAGCTTGCCGGAACTACAGCCGTTATTGTCTTGATCAAAAATGGGAAAATGTATTGTGTAAGTCTCATAACGGAGCTAAAAATTGTTTGTTAATCAATGAAACCTAATTTTATATCCAGCTGTTTAAGTTGACTGTGCTTTGGTTATTCTGGTAGAAAATATCATTAACATTGGGGGTAAAATTGTAAGTTCATTAAAGATAAAGAAAAGCTGAACCATCAATTTACTGTACTCTATTCTTATGTTGTTTGTGTTATATTATATTTTTGATAATTAGATAACAAATATTGTTAAGTCAGGTGAGAGTATGTTTCAGGCTAGTCTCTAAGTGTTACTCCCTACCATTCATTGTCTATTTTGCAAAAAAAGTTGATTTGTTGTATTTTAAATTTGATATTGCTTAGTCACTTAAACCTAAAATTTTTTAATTAATGAAAGATGTTTATCATGTAGGGAAATGTTGGTGATTCCAGAGCGGTGGCCAGCGTACAGGGAGAGGTGGAGCAGCTGTCCTTTGATCATAAACCCAGCAATGAGAGTGAAACACGGCGGATTATAGCCGCTGGTGGATGGGTGGAGTTTAACAGAGTTAATGGTAATATTTCAATCATTTTGATTGTGGGGTGAAGTTTAATAGTTTCAGAGGAGAATTATATTTTAAATGTTACATTTGGTTTGTGTATTTTATGTAAAGATTTTACAAATTTAAAATATTTGTTTTAGATTATAAATGCAATGTACAAACTTTTGCAGGAAATCTTGCCTTATCAAGAGCCTTAGGAGATTTTGTCTTCAAAAGAAATGATAAGAAACGGCCAGAAGAGCAAATTGTTACAGGTATACAACTAGAGTTTTACAATCTCATAATAAATGGCCTAATTTTTATAAATTAATAACTTTTAAAATAAAATGCACAAGGTTAGAAATATGGACACCTTTAATTCTAATCTTGTTTAAACAAAATTATAATCATAACTCCTGTAGAAAATTAAATTGCTTAGAATGTTAAAAAAAAAATAAAAGGCTTACTTGCCATATTTCTGTTACAGTTGAGCCTAGTAAAAAGAATTTGGGAAAATGGGAGCTAAATCAGGCTACAGTAAATTATAGTGATATGTTTCTGTTAATATTATTACTGTTTCTTTCTTTGCTTGGTCAAACTATGTTTTTACTTAGATTCAATCATATATTCTATTAATATTTTTAGTAAATAGACAATTGTTTTTAATTTGAATGAGTGTAAGTAGTTGAATATTGAAATAGGTGAAATGCTCTCTGAGAGTATACATCTGCTGTTGAATGTTTCTCCTTTAGTATAGCCAATTAAGGTTGCAGAATTTTGTTTTCTGCTTAACTAAGCTCAATTTCTGTTTTGGTTTACAACTAAAGATTTTTGTAAGCTATGAATTATTAGAGACATTCGATTGTAAATCTGCTAGAGAAAAAGTTGTGATTAAATATCTGGGTGACATTCATTACTATTATTTGGTGTTAGTATTGTTTAATCAATTAGTTAGGCTTGCTCAAATTGGTATTTTTGATCAAAAAAAAATAATTAAGATGCATGCTTTGGAATAGTTGAAGTATTTTAAATAATTATTTTAATAAATTAATATTAGTTTTAGCTTACTATAATATACAATTTATAGCTTTTTGAAAAGGTTTTTAACTTGCAGTTTACTTTAATCAGGACTATAATAGTGTTATTATTTGTCATAAAAGTTTTAGTAGATTTTTTTTTTTAATTTTGTACTCTGCTAAATTTACTCTGCAATCTTGTACAAATACATTCTCAAAGCTGACAAATTTAAAACTGGAAGTCAAAGGATTTTATGTTCAACCCTTTTTTTTTAATTTAGAGGAAACTAGCTGTAGTTTTAAGATTTTTTTCCCTAAAGATTAGCCATTTGCAAACCAGGTAGGATAGAGGAAAAAAAATTGTGATTTAAACTGGTGGGAAATGTTAACCATTTGTTATCTCATATAATATCCTCTTCTCACCTTCCTGCTTGTGCACAGCCAACCCAGATGTGATAGAAAAGCCAATTACTCCAGATCATGAATTTATTGTGTTGGCGTGTGATGGTATATGGGATGTCCTCACTAATCAGGAAGTTGTTGAGTTTGTTAGGAACAGGATAGCTCAACGCATGGAACCAGATATAGTATGTTCTTATTTCCTTATTACATGCTTTCTCTTTTCTGTCTTGGAGGTATTCTGCTATCCATTTTTAACTCATTTCTGCCTATACATTTCCTTTTTTAAATTCCTAACATTTTCACAATATTTGTAGAAAGCGTTTTATTTTAATAACAAAACTAGTTTGGGTTTACTTTTTTATTCCAGTAAGAGATATCAGTGTTTTTTCTTATTTTTCAAGCAATATATCTTTAAAATATTAAATTGATGCTATTGTTAAGTCTGGTTTCTTCAAAATTTTCAATGTACCAAAAATATATTTTTTCTGATTGTAATAAAATGATACTTTATGAAACCATTTTCCCTCCTCAGATTTGTGAAGAATTAATGACTCGTTGCCTGGCACCAGACTGCCAGGCTGGTGGTTTAGGCTGTGATAATATGACAGTGGTGCTTGTGTGCTTTCTTCATGGTGGTACTTATGATGACCTAGTCAGGAAATGTCAGCGGCCGTGTCATGGAGGGCAGGCCCCTCATCTCAGAGAATACAACGCTGGCTTTGAATTCAAATAGTTGTTTTTAATCTGGCAAGGTTGTTAATTATTCATTTAGTTTGACTAAAGATTGTGTGAGTAAGAGTTTTGCACAAAGTGGGTAATATTTGGTTTCCTCTGAAGCCATTTTTTAAAATAGTGTTCTAAAGTGTGTTATCCGGAAGTGAATCTATACCATTTTTATAGAAATTAATTATGGTTGTCAGTATTATTTTCTTGTTGTTGATATTCCAAGACAGTGGGATTTAGTGATCAGTTGTGTGCATGCTGAATAGTTTAACAAGCAAGTTCATTTTAACAAAGCTACTGCCCTTTCAATCACACAACTTTTATCCCTGAATATCATTCTGACATTGCTTGTTTCTAGTATTTCTTATTTGAACACAGATTTACTTTTAAATAATCATAAGTTATATGTTAATTAATGCTTCAATTCTTTTTTTCTGCTAAAATAACAGATTAAAAAAGCAGCTTTACATATTTAAAGATTTATGACTATGAATGCATATGTTCAGTGCTATCAAAGGTCCTGGTCTATCTCTATATGATTGATTTTGCTGTTAAGGTATCTACAATATAATTTGTTGAGTTAGGCGTAGTTAATCCACTTCACATGTATTGTCTTAAATTTACATTACGGTAAAGTAAAATAATTTTTGAAAGTTAAACATTTATTATGTAGAATTAGAATGCAGTGTTCCCACTTAGAAAGGTGTGTAAAAGAAAAAAAAATTACTTTGACCATTGTAAAAAAAAAGTCATGTACATTTTCCTGACCTAAATAAAAGATTCCTTTGTGTGTTGAGTGAAATGAAACATTTTGATATAAAATTATTTCAGTTTTGTTCTCTAGTAATGTGACACACAGCTCTGATTTTTTAAAATATTAAATATTTTTGGTAATAAAATACAAACTACATAACTTACCATTTTATCCATTTTTATTACTAAGTGCTTTACATATCAGTAAATAGACCTTTGTTCTAGAACTAGAAAATGGATTGTAATGATTTTCTACTTTTGATCCATCTTAAAAATATATAAATGTGTAAATAGGAATTATTTATTGGGTTTGCATCTAAAGTATGGTTATATCACATTTGAATTAAAGGAATTGTTTTTTAAGTAAAAGCCACTTATTTTTTGTCAAAAGCACATGGTAAAGCACTGTAAATTATTTTAATGGAAGCATTTCTTATAGGAATAATTACTTGATAAATTTACAGTATTAAATTTACTCTAAGTATTGTGCACAACCAAGAAGGAAGTGATATCATTTATGTTTTTTTAATAATTGCATTTAAAATTTAAAAAGTTATACATATTAAAAAAAATTAAACTTTTGATACATTCAGTCACAAGACAACATATGCCTCTTCCATTATGTATGTATAAATCTTGCCAGTAAGGTTTTTTTTGGCTATATTTTCATGTTTAAAAGGAAATACATTATACTGAGACTATTCTGTGATTGGTACTAATTATTCTAATTATTGTTGTAGTTCTTATTTTTTTTTAATAATTTTAAAAAAAAATGTATTCACCTGTTTCATTATTATGCCTAGTTAAAAAGTTTTGTTTAATTTAATTTTTTTTGAAAAATCCAATATTTTTGTTTTGATCTGAGCATTATTTGTGCCATTTGCGAGCAATGTTGTCAAAGTAGTTAAATAATACATCTAATTTTCTTTTCAATAGTGTACTTAAAAATGTTCACATTAACACAGTTTTTTTTCCTTCAGTTTAATACATACTAATTGTTTGTTTAATTAAACAGTTTTACATTTCAACACATTCACATTACGGTGTTGTGAATACCTAAACTCTATAAAATAGTGAAGTACTCTACCCAAACTACAACTTCTTAAAGTACTGAGACACTTGTTACGCAGCAAATGGAATCTTATTTTATCTTTTTTTTTGAAACACAAATACAAGACATTTTTAGATTAGACAACCAGAATTCAACTAGAAGATGGAACATAAATGACCTATTAGTTTAAATGAGGAAAGACAACTCTTATAAGAAATTATAGTCTTGGAATAGAACCAACTGTTAAGGCCTCTTCTCATTTTCTGAGTTAAAAACAGGTTTGATAAATGTTTAACCTAGAACATCACTTAAAAACCAAATTACCATTTTTTGGACTCTTGATTTAGGTTAAATTCGCCATGTTGTCTAATCTTATTTCCCCCCCCCCCCCCCCCCCCAAAGTTATTGATTTATTTAAATCAATCAATAAAGAATAACAAGAACACAACTCTTTTATAATTTTAGTCAGGCAAATAGAAATATTTGTAGTGTTTTGTTTATTTTTATTCAGTTAAAACATCTCAGATATTTTATTAAAAATTGTGTGAAAACAAATGCATTCAAGCCATTCAGGTGATTGTTCTGATCAGGTTGAACTGCTCTTCCATTACACATATAAATACTGTTGTTTTATTGCTTTAAATTTTTTTGTTTCATTTCTTGCTATTTTTGTCTTAATTGAGAGCTGTCTTCCATAATTTTTTTCTCATTTTAAAATCTTTACCTGGTATTTTCATTGTGACAGCTAACACTTGATTTGTTCCATTTCTTTCAATAACAAAAGCTATTTGTATTTAAATACTAATGCTTTTTCATAAGACAACTAGAAACACTTGTTGGATAGTGTAAACAAAAGACTAGCTCCCTTCTTTTTCTTCTATCATATTTATATTATGTTTTTTTTTTGTATACCAATTGAAAGTAGTGAGTGCAACTTATTCAGGTGAGATGTTAATATATTTTAATATATTTTCTTTGTGTTTACAGTAGGTGTGGGTAACATTTTTGAGTATTTTATAAAATATTATATTAAAATAATTATTTAATTACTAAAATATTATTAACTACAGAATTAATTAGGGGCCCATCCATTTATGTGCTCAAACTAGGGGGAGATCTAAAAATGTTGCATTATGGACTTGTAGGGAGGTGTTTCTGGTCAGTGTTATGTGGATATCCACATGATATATTGATTTATTAAAACAAACACAAATGTTGAGTTCATTTACATGTGGGATGAACCTGATGTACTACAAATTAAATTATGCTGTGTGTGACTGTAGAATCTATTATTTTAAAAATATTTCTATCTAAAGTTAAGTTATCTCCTGCAGTTTTTAGTTAATTTGGAAATTATAAATAAAAAAAATAAAAAAAATTAAGCATTCATGATAGATCTATTTTCTTTTAAAACAATTTTCATAGCATATTCTAGGTTCTGGCTGTATTATTTAAGAGCAGATAAATATCTACAAAATACACAAATGGGGATATCTAAATTTCCAATGTTCGTGTGGATGTTCTGAATGGATGACCCCTGAGTTACATTTAAATTCTTTTTTTTACTTTAACATTTTTCATCAGTTAATTTCCCCCCACTGTTCTCCTAGTAATAGTTAAATACCTATTTAACACAGCAGCATTATTGGAAAAAAAAAACAGCATACTGATCCATATCTGCAAGTTGCTTAAAACTGCTTTAACGGTATACAAAATTTCAATTTTTTGTGTTATTTCCTGGTTTAAAACAAACAATTGATAATTGTTGTATGGTTTATACATCATATAAACTTTACCACAGCAATACATTACAAAAAAAAACATATCTATGTGACAGAAAGTGTTGTCTATGCATGTTATAGTTTTTTTTTATTTTTGAGTAGGTGCAGCTTTAATTACATTTCTAAGACAAAAAGATAATTTCTGTTGCTTTTTACTAACAGACATTAGTTTTTTTTATTTGCTGCTACTTAATTTCACCGTTCAGTTGCTTAATGGTGTATGGAAATGATACTTTATAACATTAATTAGAGTAATGTCGAAATTTTAAAATCTCTTTGTGTAACAGTTCAAAGTTAATCCACATTTTATCAATTTACTATACATATCTGCTACTGATGTGCCTTGAAACATTTTGAACTGTTCATTAGCAAATGACAAAATTTTAGTACCAGTTTTATTGATGAAAAGGTCTTTAAAAATCCCTACTCTTTATTTATTCAGCCAACTCTATACAATTTATGAATTTTTTAAAACCAGATTTTTAGGTTTTTAAACAACATATATTTTAACATTTATATAGAAAATGACCTTTAATAAATACATTTCAACTCTATTATCATGTTTCTATAACATGTGCTGTCTCTGTCATTTAAATCTTGTCTGTTTTTCTCCCTTGAAAAAGCCAAAAGATTTTTAAATATTTTATCAAATTTGTAAATGTGAAATTTCTTATGCTGTAATAAAATCATAATTGTTGTGTTCATACATAACATTCTGACATTATGCTCCTAATTTGAGCTCAAATTATTTTTTCTTAGCAAGAATTATTTGAAAAATAATATTGGCATTTCTTTAGAGAAAAGTATTAATGTCAGTGCTCTATATTGATGTGTTAATTTGTTTCTTCTTTAAAGTGTTTTTTTAATTATTTATATATAAAACATTGCTCATTTTTTACACCAAAGCAATAACTACTGATGGAAGACTGGCATTTGTATTAAGTATTTCCCTTATGTACCCCATATTGAAATGTACATTGGTCTTAAAATGTTATTTCACCATTACTAGTTGTGGCAACCTTATAATAACATTGTTTTGTTTGAATATTAGTTTTCCTAAATAGATTTAAGTGTGGTTTTAACCCCTTAATACTAGATTTAAAAAAAAATTCAAAGCAAATAAATTTCCATTGTTAAATTATTTATTTTCTATGACAACAAATATAATATTTAAAACATGTTTTATTGCTGCTTTAATTCAAAAGCTAGCAAAATCTTTATAAGTATGTATGAGTACACTGTGCTAAAATTTATTTTTTCAAACTCTTCACCATTTTGTTAGGGTTAATGAGGCATTGAATTGTGTGATTACAGTATTGACTACAAATGTAGAGTGAATAGACTGGTAAATGGTAGAACAAATGCTCATCTACACTTCATTAAGACAGTTTAGTTGTTCTAGGACTTAAGTGCCCTATAAGAATTCTTCAGATTAGTTTGTATAGCTCTTATCACTGATACTTCAGACTGTTATTAAAGGGTTAATTATTATCTGTACTACCATCACTACAAATTAGAGTGAACATCTGATCAATAAGAAATATTAACAATATTCTTTTTTTAATTACGAGCTCACTAGGGTTAAAATGAAATTAAAAAAACAAACAATACTAGCTACAAAAACACTTTATTTAAACTGCAAGCATTTCATAAGTTGCATTGCTAATGAAAGATGATGTAATGGTAAATTGAAAAAAAATATAACTATCAATTTACCATCATGTCCAGCGTTAAAAGTATGGGGCCCTGTTTTCTGCAACAAAGCAATTGTTATGCACTGTGTAAATACATATATATATATATATAATTATTCAGTAATTGAAGTTTGTGATATTCTCCATGCTACTGGTTAAATTCAATTACATTTTGTACATACAATTTAACGGTAAACAAAATGTCATGTTCTAAAAATAATAGTTCATCTAAAAATGCTCTGCTATGGTTTTTGTAAACTATTTTGATAAATTATCCTTATTGTCATTAAGTTAACAATAATTATGTCAATATTTTTAAAAAGTTAATTGTTGTTATAGTGTATATGGGAGAGTTCATGCTTTCAATACTGAAAATAAATTTTTTTTGACTCAAATTGCTATTTCAAATTTGTTTACGTTATTGTTTATTCACGTCATTTTCATTATATATTTGTGTTAAATAAAGTCTCAATTTTGAGCCAGATAATGGTTGAGCATGAATAAGATTCAGCTTATTTACATATGGATTGTCTCCTTATTTATTTACAAGTCTGTTATTAAAAAATAATTAGCACACTCCTATACTCTTATAAATTATGGGTCTTTGATGAAAAAACTAACAGCTTAGACATAAGAGTTTACTATACTGGTAATGATTTCCAGCAATCTCAATTAAAAACTAGGTACAATTTAAGGTTGATCAAGTTCAATACAGTTTTGAAAACGTAATTAAAAAACACTGGTGATTATAATTATTCAGACCTGGAAGTCCAAAGTCCTTGGCATAGTATAGTATAGCGTGGTCAATTATGTACCCAACTACCTTTACTTTTCCTAATATAAGTCAGGTACCCATTACAGCTGAGTGAACTCAGTGATGTTCCACTCACTTGAGCTCAGAATCCGAACTGAAAAATTGTCGGGCTAGAAGTCGAGCGCTCTACTTCCCCTCCACATAGTCTGATTAAGAGATAGGAGATGATAATTAGGCTACATTTTTTATTGTTCATAATTTTTTCTTGAGTTATTTAATCGGAGGCTAAGTCACTGGGCGTTCTACTAATTTTAATATCAATTCAGTTGATAGCTTTGCTATTTGTGGGCTAGTCGAAATGTGTAGACACGACCTTGGTTTGGTTTATTTTGCAAATACCAGCGTTTGGCCTATGGGGTCTTCCATAAATGACGTCACACTCGTAGGGGGGAGGGGGTCCGTAATTTTGAGACTGTGTGTGATGAGGGGGAGGGGGGGGGGGTCAGATTGTGTGACGTCACACTTTTGCATTATAAAAAAGCAATATTAGAAAACGATTTTTAGACGTTATTTCGCGTTTTAGAAAACTGTTTTGATAAATTGTAATATGAATAGATTAAAATACTCTATGTTCACAGAGATCAGACAAGATTTTGGAAAAATATCGATGTTTAAAAAAAAATTCAACTGCAATTTTGAGGGGGTTGTAGGTGTGAAGTCATTTTAGGGGGGTGGGGGGAATCTGGCTTTTTGTGACTACGTGTGACGGAGGGGAGGGGGGAGGTAAAAATCTTCAAAAAAAGCGTGACGTTTTTTATGGATGACCTCTATTTGCATGTGAAGTATTTTTTTTTTACTAACCACAACAGTAGAAAAAAATGCTATTTTTAATACAACTCCCGGACATGTCCAAAACGGCCTAAACTCCCAACAAAATGGATCTTTTTTCAAAACGGTCCCGAGAAAATGGCTTTAGTCAAAATTAACCGTTACTCAGCGCCTCCGGCGAATCTAAAGTTTCCCTATCAAACCTGACGGTCTATGGGGCAAGTGAAGTAGAGTTCACTTGTTTCTGTGACCTCGGCATACGAAGAGATAGTGTGGTCAGTACTATGCCCAGCCGCCTTTACTTTCCCTTAACGCGAGTTAGGTACTCATCAGAGTTGGGTGGACTCAGGGTCGGTCTACTTACTTGAACCCGGATTCGAACTCGAGACTTACGAGTTAGTAGTCCAGCTCTCTACCGCTAAAAAAAAAAAAAAACAACTTTCATACTGAGAATAGCCTAGTGAAAAAATCACAGGCCCCTTACCTGGCCGCAACCACACCCAATATGAGCGATATTTTGACTCACACTGGGTGCCATGCTGACCATATATATGCAATATAGTATGCCTGTACGTTAGATCAAGGTCGATTACCCATAGAAGTACTTATGACTTAATTTCAACGATGTAGCATTTCAAAAATAATTTTGAATCTGTTAGAAAATTATTAAAATTACTAACAAGAATTGACGTTTGGAATTGTTATTTTTTTGTAAATAGTCTGTTCTTTTAAAATGTAAAGTTGTGTTTTGTCTATAGTTAGATCTCTGTTTGTAGACTAGTATCGTATTTTATATGATGATATTTAATCATCTCTTGTTTCCAGTCTTTATGAAAATAAAAGAAACTTAGATAGACCTAGATCTGTATTGAAACAGGGATCAAGCTGCAATCACTAAGACTAAACGGTCCTAGAATTATGTGAAAAAAAAAAAGCATTTGCGTTTTTATTAATATTTTAGAAGCTTGGTGATGATTGGTGAGTATCGATATTTAGAGGGCGCATTTCCTGTCCAAGATGGAGGGTTTTTGTACGTATTTGGTACAATAGATTCATCTGTTACACTCCAATGAAAGCTACTCGCTTATATTATATTTTTCAACAATACAAATAATATATTTTGTACAATAAACGTAAAAATGACAACAATTTCTATATGCTCTATACTTACCCTAATTTTAAAAAGCCTTTTACAGTTTAGTTAACTTCAGTTCTGTCTCTCTCTTCTCAAAACACTGAACTGACAGTCACTCAGCACTGCAGTTCTCTGTTATTCTATAATTCTAGATCTAGAAATCTAGATCTCATTCCAGAATCTTGTAGTTGCTAGATTTAAATTTTAGATCTCTATATCTAGGTCCCCTAGTTATTCTAGTAGCAGTCAGAAATAGAGGTAAAACTCAATTTTAGCGTATTTTAGTCGCAGCTTTACATTAAATACATTTACCTTAGTTTGCGTAAAACTCACAATAAATGTTAAATGAATATGAACATAAAGTATTGAATAAAATACGCTAAAATGGAGTTTTACTTAGCAGGCCCTACTTACCACTTGACCCATTATTTGATTAATTGCTAGGGTGTTAGTGTTGGTAAAATGTAAGATGCCAGGCATGCAACACAAATGATAAAGAGGTAAAATACAAGAAGGATGCAAAAACTGACAGTCATGTATCATTTTTTATCTTGAAGTTAACTGGATACCACCTGGTAGGCTACTAGATCTATCTGGTAAAATGTAAAGATGTCTGTGATCATTTTACTGTACCTGGAGTTCAATGAGTAGATGATTGATCTACTTCTCTTTCTATTGTTTACTTGCTGCAGACTTTGAACACCACTATGTAGCTTTTAAATTTAATATTGTTGGTAGCAGTAGCCAAAGCTGCAAAAAATTTCAATTCTTAAGTATTTATGCGTTGTTTTTGGCACCTGAAATGTTTTCCATCAATACGTTTATAATATTTATTTACATTAATTGCTGTTAATAATTATACTTTTTTCCACCTCCAGATGTTTCTTGAAAGAATGTTTTAAGCAGGCAGTTTTTCAACATCATTGTAAAAGTTCATATTTGAAAATTAATATGGCTTAGCAAGAAATTTCCAAAGTGATGTCTCTAACATGGTTTCTTGAAAACAGACTTTTCTGCTGCTGTGGTATAAATGGATGAAAAACAAATCAGTGAGCTTCTGGAGTGTTCAGTATGTCTTGAGCGCCTTGATCAAGGCTGTAAAGTGTTACCATGTCAACACACATTCTGCAGGCAGTGCTTGGATGAGATAGTGCTCACACAGAAGGAGCTAAGATGCCCGGAGTGCAGGGCTTTGGTTACTGTTCGTGTGTCTGATTTGCCAACAAATATTCTTGTCGTGAGAATATTAGAAGGTCTGAAGTCAAAAGGCCAGAGACCACCAGCAAGCAATAGGCAACTATTAAGTACTCTTGGTTCTAGTCCTGCTAAAGTATCCAGTCCTCTACATAGACATGATGTTGCTGCACAGCTTTTAAGACAGGTGTAGATTTATTTTGTTAGCAATAAAAAAATACTGAAATAATTAAAAAAAAAATAATAAAAAAAAATTGATTTTATACTTACTAAATATGCAATACATTTTTTTTTTAGTAACATTACCAAAATTGTTCTTTTTTAAGGGTTCACAACCATGTGCTGAAGCTCTCTACAAATACGAGCCAACTGAAAAAGAGTAAGTCTCACCCTTATTAAATACTAATTTAATTACTGTTTGATATCTTTACTATGATTTAGTTCCTCTAGAACCAATTACTTCCAGCTAACAGAAGACAATTACTTTTGCATTGTATTTTTTTATTGTTGTAAGAAACAGAACATTTGCTTGTCTAGTTTTCAAAATCATTATGTTCAACTGAAAAAAGAGAAATCTGAGTTACCAGCCTTACCAACATCAAAAATCTGAATTTCTGTTTTTTTTATTACCACAGTGATCTTCCTTTAGAAAAAGGAGACATAGTTATTCTTCGGCGCCAAATAGATGAAAATTGGTATCAAGGAGAGCTTCTGTCTGGTCGCATTGGTTTTTTCCCTGCTAACTTTGTTCAGGTAACATTTGTATGAACTTACTGTTAGTGCTAGTAATATCAATGAATAAGAACATTTTTTTTTAATTGATTAACTATAATTTCTGTCTCTCAACCATAGATTTTAGTTCCACTACCTCATCAAATACCACAATGCCGTGCGCTGTATGACTTTGAATTAAAAGATGAAGCTGAAAAAGATTGTTTATCGTTTAAAAAGGTGAGGAAAATTTTACTTTGCATTGAAGTGCAGCTCTGTGAAGAGCAGAGATGTGACTTCTGAATTTTAGCAAATTTTTAAAACATTAGGCAACCTTAAATAGCAATTGTTCATGCTAACTTTAAAATAACATAGGCTTGGGAAACTAGATTGATTACTAGCAAATGTGAACTTTCCATGACCTTTATGATTTGCTCTATTGCGTTTTTATGATAAAAAAATAAAAAATTACTACATTACTTCAGTAGCGATCAAATTGAAAGATAATGAATACAAACGAATAGCTCATTTTAATGCTGAAGGAATCAAATGTTTTCATTAATAACAATTTGTTAAAAATTAAAGATTTTAGAAGGGAAGTTACAATTAAAAAGGTAGTTTGTAATTTGTAGTTCTATTTAAAAAAAAAAAGTTAAAGTCTATAGTTGGCTATTATTTAGAAAATAATGGTAGAACAGTGCTTTATTAGGTACATTAGCATATAGCTAAAAAGGGTTGTTGTTCTGGTCTGAAATACCTAACTTTTTTCATATTCTGGTCACATCCCTGAAAGAGGGAGCACTATTGCCTATATGTACTACGTTTAACTACTATGTGCAGTTGGCACCTAAAAAATATAGGAACTGTTAACCTGCATTTAGTTGCTGATTGTTTTTTGTAGGACGAAATGTTGACAGTGATTAGAAGAGTGGATGAAAATTGGCTTGAAGGGCGTAAAGGGGACAAAATTGGCATTTTTCCAATATCTTTTGTTGAGGTAAGACTTTTTAAATTTTATTCATTATTTTTGTTGTAATTTTCCAAATGATTATATGTTCAGTGTTCTTTATAAGTTAATTTATTCAATTAAATGCCATAAAAATTAAATTTTTTATAAATAATTTTTTAAATCTGCTTCAACAGTTAAATGATGCAGCTCGGACCCTTATTCTGTCTAAGTCTAATGCTGCCCAGCCATCATTGCCAGTGTCCAGTAGAAGTGTCACGAAGACACCACACTCAAGTGCTGTATCTAGTACGTCAACCCCGGCTCCTGATGAAAACTCACTGCCAGTTTCATCTGATGCTCCAGTGGTATCCAGCAGTAGCCCAGAGACCCAGCCCACTTCCTCACCAACATCTGTACCACTAGGGTCATCTCCGACACATGAAGTCCCAGCACAGAACAAGCGCCACTCATTCACCTCTGTTTCACACTCTTCATCCCCTGTCACCACATCAGCCTCTGCTAGCAACCCCCAGCAGCGGCATTCAGCTGAAGTAAGTTTGTCTGCGTCAGTGAGTCATGCTCTAGTCAACCTTGACATCCAGCCATCCACAACAGTGTCATCAACAATAGATCACCAGTCAGTTACCTCGAGAAATGTAAGCTAAATTGATGTTATTTTACAGAAAATTAAATTCTGTTTTTTTTGTATGAAATTTTTTGAAAAGGTTATGCAATACATATGCAATTCTTGGTTTTTAAAATTTGAATAGGTTCAGAGTATTATCAAATATTTTTTGTTCTAGTTTATAAAGCAAACATTATAAAGTAACATTATCGGAAAAATATTCATTAGCTCAATAAATCATGTAAAACCTGGAATGGTTTTTGTAATGGGTTTGATTTATTTGGAATGTTTTATAGACATCATCCCCATCCAATGTATCAGACCCCACTGTAGATTCTACTGGTAATTTACAATCTGGATCTCTTACTATTCCATTGTGAGTAATTACTTTTAATATATTATTAGCTTTAGTTTTTAGATTTTTGTCTGATATTACTAACAAAGGTACATATTTTTTTTTCTTTTATAATCATTTGATTTTGAACAACTTTTTACTAAAACATTGAAATAGTAACAGTTTAAAAGAATCAGTTCACCTCTCTTTGAAAATAGTGTAGATTACTCAGCATTTGCATACACTTTGAAAATTTGATATAGCATTTTTGTATGTGTAATAAATGAATGTATGTTGTGAAAACCACTTGCTTGTTCTGTTTGCAGGTATATAGCTTTGTACAACTATAGACCTCAGAAAGATGATGAGCTGGAGCTGCAGAAAGGTGACCACTACACTGTGGCAGAGAAGTGCCAAGATGGTTGGTTCAAAGGGGCCTGTGTTAGGACTGGTCAGTGTGGTGTGTTCCCTGGAAACTATGTCTCTATGGTCAGGTATGGCCAACCATACGCACAATTACTGTAAAATAAGTTTAAAATTGGTAGCACTTTTTAAAATACATATTTTTATTATTTTATGTTGATTTAAAAAAAAAAAGTGGTTTTAATTTGATTTCTAGACACACAAGTGCTTTCAAGCCCGTCAGCCCAAATATATTAAACATTCGAGCTAAAGGCCCTGTATCAACCTCAAGCAATGCAATACACCCATCCTCTGGAACAGTTGAAACAAAACCTACCGCCTGTGATCAGACCTCTAGTCAAGTTCAAGCCCCTCCTCTAATGCCTAGGCTAGCTAGGCTAAATACTTCAGGTATACTGGGTTCATAGCTCTGTGAATTTTATTAAATGAGATATAAAAAACATAAACTGCAAGTGTTCTAATCATCCACATAACTCATCTTTTAAAATAAAATTATAAATCTAATTAGCTTATCTGAAAGTTAGTCAAAGCTCCTTTCATTTCTTCAAAAATATATGCTAATAAGTGCATAATATTTTTAATAACCTAGCCTCATCTGATATTATTAATTTAAACCTTCATGCCATTGACTGACAATTGGTGATATTTTCTTGGTTGTCTTTCTTTGTTCCAGATAAAATAAAAAATTTATTTCCTATACTTTATTATTCTAGACTGCCATATTTTAAAGAAGCAAGTATGGTTTCGGGTCTCTTAGATTTCCATGAACTATTTCTTAATTTACCTATGTGGACATATAATAAAATGTTTTTTTAATATGGGCATTTTTTGTTTTTGGTGGATTCAACATGCTATTGGTGACTTTTTTTTTTTTGCCTTTTCATGAGGGTTATCTAATCCATTTATAAAAACTTTTTATATGTATTTCAAATAATCTTTAAGTTTGGATAAACTTAATGCGTTAAGACATGTTTTGCTATGAAAAACACTTACACATTATGTATATGTACACTGACTATAGTTGTGTTGTATATTTTTGCATATTTTATAGGACAAAAAACAAAATCACAAACTCCTCCACTTTCGAGTCCACCAACAAGATCTCTGTCCAGCCCTGCCACCAACTCCATATCAACCTCTCCAAAACATGTATTTTCACCATCAGCAGCTTCCTCCCATTTTGGATTGTCTAGGCCATTAATTCCAGCCCCTCCACCTTCCATGATCTCCTCTCCACATCACTCAATGTGGGCACCCCCTGGCTTGACAACACCTCAAGGCACCAGTGTTACGGCACACAGCTTAGACTCTGGTGCTGCTAGTAGTACGACTCCAGCCAAGGAAAAGGTTTGATTTTCTTTATTTGGCATTTTAAACCTTATCAGGGTGTATTTTTCTTACACATTTGATAATTTAGTAGGCCTTCTAATTAACGATAGTTTTTCATAGTGTTGTATGTTTCATTTTCTTTAATATCCAATGCCTAACAGAAGGATGAATCTTTTTATTTATTATCCATGCCTCATAGAAAGAAAAGAAAGAAAAAGAAAAGAAGGGCCTATCTAAATTATTATCTGGCAAGGGTAAAAAGTCAAAGCTTTCAGTGTCCATCAATGATCCAGTGCCATCGCCTGGTGTTCCATGTTCAGACAGTATTACTCACGTACGGTATGTCACACTCATATCCTCAGAAAAAGTTTTATAAAAAAAACCTGAGATTTCAGTGCTGTAAAATTTTAACCTAAACCTACACATAAATCATAATTTAAAAGTTAACTGATGATTTCATGAATTCCAAATTAAAATCCAGGAGAAAAAATATTTAAAATTTTGGAAAAAAATATTTGAACTAATCAACTGAATATTTTAGGTAAATAGAATGCACTGAGGGGTAGATTCACAAAGGTAGTGATTAAAAATAACTGAAGCTGATTTTTTGCCTCCTAATCAAACTAGAAGATATTTTTATTAACTTCACGTCGTAATCTATTTTCAGTTCTGGTTCCTTTCCTGTTGACAGCTCAATAGATTTTCCAATAGGGTCAATAACTCACAGGAAGGCAGCCTCCTTTGATGCCACTACTATACCTCCAGTACCTGCTAAGCCAAGACCCAAAATTGTTACAAGAGAAAGGTCAGAGACTTTAGTAAACTAGGCTAGGCTAAGACAAACTGTTCTAGTGTAATGTGGGTCCAGAAGTCTGTTGAATCATTTTGTAAATAACTCTTTAAGAAATCAAGCACTCAGTTTTAATTTTGCGCTGATTTCCTACTGTTTAATAACAGCACAAACTTTTATATAGTTACATAAACTAAAAGTTTCAGTTAAAAACTAAATTCTACTAAACCTAGTGAGAATGAGGGGTTTAAGAGCTGTAAGTAACACTAGTTAAACAATTTCTGCATTAGCCAAATCTTAATAAAGATTGCAGATTAAAAGATTTAAAAAACATTTTTTAGGTATTATTGTAAGCACCAGTACCCCCCGCAGACAGATCACGAGTTAGCTTTAGAGGTGGGAGACATTATCCACGTTCACCGCAAGCGTGATGATGGTTGGTACAAAGGTACCCAGGAGAGGACAGGCAAGACAGGAATGTTTCCAGCAAGTTTTGTAGAGAAATGTGATTGACAGATCCCGTGTTAAGAGGAATATTGCATGTCAGTTGTGTTAAAAAAAACTGTTTTCCAGATTTTATTGATATACCCTGAACAAATTGAGTTTAACCTGCTTAAAAGAATATTGTTTTATGTCATTTAAAACATTGGCATAGGTTCCTTCCCCTGCTCCCTGTCTAGACTAGTTCGGAATATATATAGTGTTAAATTGTTATATTATTTAGATGATTAACATTTTCATGGGAAAATCTAATTTTTTTTTAGTTCTGGATTCAAAAATATGTTGAAAACATGTAACAAAACTCAACAAAGTACTATTTAGTCAAAAAGTTATTTTTTTTTCTTGAAAATATTATTGCACAAGAGCTAGGAGCGCTCACTGAACACTAACGCTAATGATACACATATAATCTCTGTGTAGGAGAGCCCCATTTATCTCATGTCACTGTTCCAAGATGGCTTATTGCTTTCACTTTGTGGAACAGCTTATTTTTTGTTGTTGAGATTTTGGTTACATGAAAATACTCCTAATACAGCTAATATATTTTTTTTTTCCTCTAAATTTTCAAATCATACATAGTTTTATTTACTCTTTTATGTAACAAAGTTTCATTCATTTGTAAGTATGCTCAGATTCTATTTAGTAAGTAAAAAGCAATGCAGTAAACCAAATTAAGGATGTTGTTAACTATTTCCTTTTAGTGGCCAGTTTTATTCCCAATGATTAACCAAAACTACTTATCAGACAAATCTACAAATGTTAACATTCATTGTTTAAATCAGTAGAAGAAAGAGATGTAACATGAAAGTTTTCATTAACCCTTGTAACTGCTGACTGCAATGCTATTGATCTTAATATTTTTTGGGTGTAAATAATAAAAGTGGAAATGTTTATTTAAAGCTACCTTTGTCAAATTTAGGGTAACTTTATTTTTACTTTATTATAGTGTTAAAATCAAACAACTTTATTTAAACTTATTTCTATAGAGAAGTACTATACTATACCTTCTGTTGATGAGTAAATAAAAAAAGTTTTTTTTTACTCCTTCATTCTTTATTTACCACATATATCAATTCCTTCATGACCCTCTTATAAATAAACTTACTTCATACTCTGTTCAAACTGTTGATTACCTATGCTGAAATTCTATTATTGTTAGTTACAAAAATTGTAACTTGGTTACAATCTAACAAGTTTTTTGTTTTGTAAAACTTATATGTAAGTTGGTTAGAAATTTGAAGGTAAAAAATATTTTAAAATATAGATTATACGAATGTAAAGTGTTTTAAATTTTTTTTAAATGTTAGTCTGTCTACAAACCACCTCAACTAACAAACATAAAACTACCTATTTAGATTTTATTTTAACGACTAGTGTGTAATATCTAGTTTCATAATTGAAAGAAATGGTAATTTTAATATTTGTATTACATTTAGTTTTCGGCAATAATTTATATTTAAGTCTTTCATTGTTTTTTTTTGGTTATGTTCCTGCTCATATAATGGGAGATAGCTCTCCAGTTAAAGTAATGTTAGGATTTCAAAAATTATATTATTGTTGATGGACTACTGTTAAACTGAATACTTTCTGAAAAATGTGTACAAGTTAAGTTTACTGTCAAATTTTAGGTGAAGCTAACTTTTAAAATTTTGAATTATTTCAGGATTAAACTTGTTAGATTAGATATTTGAACACATACGGTTTAATTACATGTAATATGTCAAATTGTCTTAAACATATGCTTAAAGCTATTTTAGTAATTTAGAAGGAGTACTTTTTTTAATTTGAAAAAAAATGTGTTCTACTTCTCATGGTTACAGTTATAGCCTACATTAAATGCATTTCTAAGTCAGTGTATCTGGCATTTAATGAAAAGTTGCATTTTACAACTAAGGTCTATTTAGCAGGGAAGCTATCCATGTACTTTTTTTTGTGTAACAGGATGATATTATCACTTAGCATTGTTTAGTATTCCATTAGCATTAACTGACTGGAGATTTTTAAATGATGTACATAATGTATATAAATTAGCAAATGAACAATTGCTCTCTGAGAGAGTATCATTTCTCCACGGTCAAGTAAATTAATGTTAGTAGTTTAGAGTTCTCCCCCTTACCTATAGAATGAAAAAAAAAATTCTGATTTTTTTTTGTTTTTGTTTCTGTATTTTGATGTCAGTGAATTTGACAAGTTGCTTGTAGTTTATTCAACCCAATGTAAAAACCAACAGGGTAAACACAGCTGTTTTATTGTACTGTTGTTGTTTGAGAGATAATCTTGCCTTACCATGGCAAACTGGATAAGTTCAATGTTCAACTCTTTTGTCTAGGTTGAGCTTTAATCAGTGATTGTATTCCCCCCTTCCATCATTAAGCCCTATTTTAACCTTAACAGCGGATATTTTAATAACAAATGTACAACAGTATTGACAGAAAAAATATCTCTTCCATTTATTTATCGAGTTGCACCATCTATATCTATTGTATAAAAATAATGATTTTTTTCTTTATAAAGTATGAAGTAAAAAAAAAAGTTGCTGGTATAATGTGATATATGTTAAGTTGAATTACTATAAAATTATAAGAAGACAATATCTACACAAAACATTGCAATAAAAACATTGCATATTCTAAGTGGTTTATTTTTTACTGTAAATCTCGATCAGTTGACTGGATAGTGAACAGAAAAACTAAAGTGTGTGCGGTTGTATAGTCTTGTTAAATGTGTACCGGTTGTAGTGTTCATACTTTACATGTGTATAGCTTCTACAAATTGACATGTCTAATTTATTTCTCACAGCACCTCCCAATGTTTTCCACACTCACCTGTACAAATTATCTTTATGTTTATTTATAACTAATATTTGTTGATATAGTGTTGGTATAGAAAATTGTTCTGAAATATTATTTGTACCTGTTATTGAAATTTTTTTTTTTTAGCTTTGGATGTCTACTAAATATGAAATATGTGTACATATTTTACTTATGGGGATCTTGTACTTAAAAAAAGTTTGAATTTTTTCTAGTTTTAATAAAAAAACAAAACAATGTACAATAGAGAAATATTAAAAATTAAAACAATCTGTATTTAGTGTACGCAACAAATATGTATAGATCTATATAAAAAAATTTAGGATCTTTTTCTGTACTGTATAGAAATAATGCATGTACGAGATCCCCAGAATTATGTACATTGCCATGTTTATGTGTATTCCTAAACTACCTGTTTACTGTAAGCTGTTGGTTCTATGGAAGAACTTTGTTTTGCTCATTTGGTAATGACGACCACTGCTACTGTTAGATCTGCTTGATCAATCTGTATCATTATATCAAAACATGTTTATATTTATAATCATCACTTTTCACAAGTTTGCATGGATTTAAAAAAAAAAAACCCATTATCTTTATTATTCAACATTTTTGTCTCATATAAATAAAAATAATTAGTTATTGTTAGAATGGAAGTTTACATGCTAAGGACCGAGTTGTATTAGTGTATTATGAATAGCTAGACTGTATTTTTGTGTGTTTTTCCCCCACATGTTCAAGTGTTCATTTTTAACATGTGTTAGAGGTATAGAAGTCCACCACCATTTTGTTAGTCATGTTCATTATCCAATCATTTTGTGCCTCAAGGGTCATGTGATGTTTGTTATATTTTTTCTTATTAGTGCTTGAAATGTTTACCCATTGAAGGCCAAGTTGATTAAAAGTTATACATATAACTATTTTTATAAATTGTTAGTTTTCTTTCTTTCTGAGTATTTACTTTAAATTTCAATTTTTTTTTTGTTTTATTCATGTTAGATTTTGATATTTTTCCTTTCCTCTAATCCTCATCCCTCCTCCAATGTTACTTTTAGACAATTTTCTATGGGGGGTGGGGGGGGGGGGGCTGACTTCATTTTCGCGGTTGGGGGAGATAACACTTGTAAAAGTAAAAATATTTTCTATATAAATTATTAATTTTTTCGTCCTCTTCCCGCCTCAAGAGATGCCTGACAAACTCCCCCCCCCCCTCCCCCTTCCAATAATGTGCTGCAAACGTAAATCCTTTAAGGCTTGCCGGTTAAAGCTATCTTCCGATGGGCAGTCTTGACAATCTCTCGTCCACCTTCATCTCATTTCTGTGAGGCATGAGGGCAGAGTTGTCAGACTTGTTTCCATGCGAGCTGCATACCCGTGCCTCACTACTGTGTAAACAGTACTATTTGGGGGACAGATAAAAATAAAATTCCCAGCTCAAAACATAACGAAACCGCTTTTGACATTCTTTAGAAATAAATCAATTTCGTTTAATGAAATTAAAGAATTACGAATAAAAAGGGAGAGAATAATAGAATAAGGGAAATAACACACCACACAACGCAACACATGCCACCAACAACCCACACACCGCTGCCTTTAAGGTGACCACCCATGGAGTTGGGTAGAGTTCAGGATTGAAGAAGTCACTACTGGGGGTAGGGGAGAGTATTCTTATTTTCTAGTAAAATATTATTTTAAATATTGTCCACACATTTAAAGAGAGCTGCTGAACTTTTACTCTTTCTATGTTTGATACACCCTAAATATCTATTTTTTGTACACAGCAATGACTCGTATTAAATTATACAGAGCTCACTGGAATAATATAACACATTTGACTTTATGGCTAGTCATAGAGTAAAAAAAACTCTTCGCTATGGCAAAATGAAACATCATACTTCTGCCAGAAAGATGCTAAAGGGAGATGACTCTATCAGTATGTTAAATTGTACACCAAAGTGTGCTGGGTAAAAAGAAAATCAATAGTGGGCGTCGTCAAAGAGTTAAACACGCCCCCTTCCACTTATTGACAAGCTGGGGACATAAAACGCATATAAAAGCGCGTGGATGCTGATACAATTAACTTATTACGAACTCGCTTTTATTCAAAGCATAGGTTGATTTGTTTACTTTGTTGCAATACATAGTTAAGATGATGTTTTTTTTTATTGGTTACCCAATGTTAGGTTGAGGGACTGTTTGGTTAGATGTACATATGGTTAGGGTGAGGTTTTTTTTTTGTTATGGAGCATTGGGTTAGGGTAATGATTTTTAGTTAGGTGTACGTAATTCTGGTTTATTAGGTTATCTGTACCTATGGATTGTTAGGGTTAAGATGTTAGGGTTTAGTCAGCCGTGATCAGGGGTTCCATTTTTTTCTAATATTTAGGGTTATTAGGGATGTTTACAGTTAGCGTACATGGTTTCTGAAGTTATCGTTAACTGTTACTGTAACTCTTAATCGAACACAGGTGAGGGTTTGTAAACCATTTTATGGTTCACGTGATTACTAATGTGCTATTTTTAGCGATCGGCGCCTTCACAATTGTTCCATAGACTAAGAACTTGAGCTGATTATCGATGTAGAATGAGCTAGTAGTAACCAGCGCTCCGGACTATAGTTATACAATTGTAATTATTTTTTTTACTGAAGGGTTTACTTCACTAGGGGCGGCATGGTCTGGTCGAGTAGTAGAGCGTACGACTGCAAACCGTAAGTCTCGAGCTCGGGGTTCGAGTCTGTAGGACGTCCCTAAGCCCTGTCAGTCAGACACAGCTCTAATGGGCAACTAACTCACGTTGGGGAAAGTAAAGACGGCTGGGCTTAATGAATGCTGATCATACTATCCCTTCACGTGCCGAAGTCACAGAAACAGGTGAACTCTTTCTCCCCCCCCCCCCCTCCCCAGGTTCGAAAGGTTTACTTTTTTATTTACTAGAAGTAACTTACGCTTCAGCCTATATTTTCCAAATTTTAAACTTTTTTTAAACGAGGTATTTATTTGAAATAGAATTTTAACATGTATAATTCAGACACTTTTCTTACTCAATAAAGCAAACAGACATGTCCTGCTAAATTAGCGGTATCTTTACTCTTCATATTTCATAAGTCCAATATTTTTCTTACTCGTGTAAACAAACTTGCTACTGTCCTTTTTAATTATCTGTGTTATTTTTTCTATTTGAGATTGGTGTAGAGTGTAGGGTTTCTTTTTCGGCCAGGAGTTAGGACTAGATCAGAGTCGGTCTTAAGCGTCATGCAGATATTGTTTGCGGGTATAGCATTATACTAGAAGTGGAATGTTCCTATCGTACACACAAATACTGTCTCGCTTACTGGGCTAATTATGAAATTTTTGAACTCCTAGCATTACTATTGGTTTATATGAAGTGATATATAATAATGAAGTGTATAGGTACCCTTGATTGATTAAATCCACATTGTCCAATCCTTAAATAGATTAGCTGATTTGGTTCTGTAATTAGTTTTCTATTTATAGAAGGCGCACTTTAGGCTATCAGATAAATAATAGGTCGCGCAGTGTTATAAAAAAAATTAATAACAGAAGCGCAATCGAAATCCATACCAGGTTTTTGATTGAAATTGGAACACCGTCTGCGCCCCGGCGCGTCCAATTGGACACCGGTGTCTTAGGTTTGCGAATGCAATGAAGGAAAGGCGATGCTGAGTTTTAAAAACGGTGCTCATTAAAATTAGTCCCGTAAAATTTTTCTGTCTAAGCCGTGTATGACAACATCTTGGTCGCCTTGGTCTGCGTGACCTTTCTATTTTGCATGACCTCTTTCCTCCATGCTGTTTGAAGACTGAGAGAGGGGAGGAGGGGGGGGGGGGAAGAAGAGAATGTGTAGATTTCCTATACCGATATCTTTACCTCTGGGTTATCCGTAAGTTATTGACTAATGTGATATCGTTGAGTTAAATTAAAAATATAACAATGTCACTCACTATGCTAAAGAACCTGTGAAATTATGGCTCCCGACAAAAAGGTTCAATTTGACATTTACCATCCATGATTCTGTTGTTTAGCCCAGTTAAAGAAATAAAGCTGGAGTGAGTTCCGCGATACTTTCTTGTATATTCATATACAATAGTAATGTTTTATTAACAGAAAGGTTTCTTATGGCATTTCTAGTGGGATAGGGCTTTAGAACTGATTGGTAAGTTAGTGACTCATCTTTCGAGAAATTTTTGGGGGAATAACATGGCCGGGGGAGAGAGTGTGTAATTGCTAGCTAAAGTACACGAGTTGTTTGGAGCCCGGGCAGATGAGCAATCCATGTAGGAGAGACAACTCCACGAACAAACAACTACTGCCTTTCATGTTGTTCTTAGATGGACAAAGGCTATGGACGCAAATCCAGAAAAGAAATTCAACGGGCCATTTAGCACTCATCATGTTGACACGTAAAATGTACTTGTGTTGGAGTCTTAATTCCATTAATAATAAAATTAAGGCTTTCTTGGGGGGGGGGGGGGGAGAAGAAGATACCTGGAAGAAACTCTGAATATACAGTCTAATATTTATATTACATCCACTCAGTGGCGTAGCGAGGTCAGGTGTCACCCGGTGCGGCACTTAATGGTGTCACCCTCCCCCCCCCAGAGGCGTAGTGACCCTTCCCGGGGACAAACTTTCAAATTTTCGATTTGCACCCCCCCCTCAAGTTTTTCTCTATATATTTTGCTATTTTTTACCTTGGTGTCACCCCCCTAAAAAGTGTCACCCGGTGCGGTCCGCACCCCCCCCTCGCTTCGCCTCTGCATCCACTTAACTAACAACTCAGTGATGTAAAACGATTTTTTTTTACTTCTACACTCGTATACGAGAAAGTACTAGATCTAATAAGTAGACAAGAAAGTACAAAATCTAATATGTAGAAACATCAACTAGCGTACACTTTGTTTCACATCACACTTACAACATAAAGCACGACGATGACAAACTCTATTCCTACGTCACACATACAATATACAACACGACAATGACACTATGCCTCACTTCAAACATACAACATACAGCACACCGGTAACACTATGTCCTACTTCACACATACGACATGCAACACGAAGATTACACCATGTCCCACACACACCATACAGAATAATGATGACACCATGTACCACATACAACATACAACACAACGATGACACCACGTCCCACATACAACATACAACACAACGATGACATCATGTCCCACATACAACATACAACACAACGATGACACTATGTCGACTCGTGTGAGAAAAAAAATCGATTCTCCCCTGTCTTTGGGGGATACACAATTTTTTTTTTAAAGGCGTCGTCTGTGTCTTAGGATGATAATCTCGTTCTGGCTCTTGGCGGTCAGGGTTTGTGCACGAAGGTTAATGGCACCCGCCCGAAATATGATCGATATGTTTATATATATATATATATATATATATATATATATATATATATATATATATATATATATATATATATGTAACAACATGAATTCTTTGTTGTTGTGGGTTAGTTTTCACACAGGAATACAAGCAATAGTGGCAACTTCAAATGATGACTTTATTTACACTATATACAGTGAGAATGATAAATCCATAGTTATTCATGGTAAATCAATATTAGAAGATACTCAACAAGTACAGTCACAGTCACGACTCCAAGTCATGGAGACATCTTACATTCACTGCCACAGTTCAAGTCCCAAGTCCTAGCACACAACACCCGTTCACCTTTTTGCTCTCCCTTTTATACGGTCCATTCTCTCCCCTTACGTACATGAGCGATCTCACCCAAAAACATGAAAAAACACATGACGATCGCTCAGACAGTCCTTCCGCTAGCCAGGTACTCTTCATTCATGCAAAACACAATATAATAAAGATACATAATAATACAGTCTGACACGTCCCC